ACCATTTGTGATATCCGCGTGATATTGTTGTTGCTGCTACAGATAAAACATATCAATGTCTCCCAGGCATCTTGACTGAGAATTCGAACCCCTTTAAACTGGGGAGCCCTCTTTTTAAAGTTGGCATCAGCTTCTGACCATTGTTTGTAAAGCGGTTCGAGACTAGTATCCAGGTTGAAATAGTGCCTTAGGAGAGCCTCGGTGTTGTTGGGTGCTGGCGTCAAAGGTTTGGGGGCTGGAAAGGTGACCCGATAGTGCAGATGACTTGAGTCCTGCTTCAAGTGAAGAAGTCGGCCATGCAAAGTGCAGGTCCTGAAAGAGTTAACATAGTCGACAGGCTGCGGATTGAATAGTAACTCACCATTCATGGTTAATCTTTTGCCATCTAAAAGACTGCCCACATCTCAAGGTGGTGTTGATGCAAAGCTCCCCTAGAGTAACGGGCAATTTATGCCAATCCGTCTTCCCTACGACAGGCATTGAGAAAAGTATTCAGCCCGCCTACTCTAGTTGGAAGAGGCATTAGCAAGAAAGATGCGTCAAGGGAGCAAATTGGCAGCTTGAAACCGACACTGCCTCACGTTGATCTCCCGTGGCGACTCAAGGCTAGGTAATGGTGTAATGTGCTATTGGATGATGAACGCTGTAGCCCCTGGAACTTGAGAGACTACCTACCTGACAACGAGCATAAGCCCAAATCTAACGTCTAAAGGCTTACTGGGTATGAACAGGAACCTATCACAAAGCTAATACAATAGTTCTGAGGTTTAGAGATTCTACTTGAGAGGCATATTTAGGACCAGTAATGGCACCTTTCAGTACAAATAATACATATCGTGAGTTCAGTTCATGAAAATTCTCTATTCTCGACTCTGTTTGCTAACTACTGGAGTTTTTCCGCAAGCTGCAAAACCTACCCAGGTAGGTAGGTAAGTAGGTAGCCTCCATAACCCGAGAGGCCAAGTCTTGAAATTTGGCGCTAGGCCCAAACCTTACTAACGTTAGCGCCTCCTGGCAAAAAAAGCTCCAGCCTCGCGCGATGCCTGCCAGCTCTTTGAAATTAGAACCTCGTTGCGGCTTGAATCAACGAATCCGCCTTCCAACCATTCGCACTCATCAATTTCAGAGGACACATCCAAGCTCTGGAGTCGCTTGTCGCTGCTAAAAGTATGAACGGGGACAGCTACTCCTCCCGAGGTAAGTTCTACTGCAATGTGATACTTGATCGCGTCGCGTCGCTAAATCCTTACCACAGATGGGCGCAGGGGACGAGATTATCCTGTAAGTAATCCATATCCATATCATTCTCTCAAATGTGATTCAAAGCTGACTCCGCTTAGCCTCGAGGTGAGAGAGGCGATAGAGAAGATCGTCCGCGAGACCGACACCGTGACCGCGACCGCAGACGATCTCGCTCACCCGAGCACCGAAGCCATCGACGAGGTGAAGGCGATGTAGATGCCTACTCGTCCAGCCGAAACCACCGCGACCGTGAGCGCGAAGACAGATACTCGGGCCGCGAAAGACGAGGTGGCGATCGTGAGTGGGATCGCGATCGGGGATCATCCCGTCGAGATGCCAGACGCGACGATGATGAGCGGCCTAACAGGCGAGACCGAGATCCCTACGAAGACCGTCGTCGCGGTGGAAGAGATCGGCGTGAGGACAGATTTCCAGCACAGCAGGAGCGCCGTAGCGCGAGCCCACCACCTAAGAAGCGAGAGCCAACTCCAGATCTTACCAACATCGTGCCTGTCCTGGACCGCAAGCGTCGCCTGACTCAGTGGGATATCAAGCCTCCAGGCTACGAGAATGTTACAGCTGAACAGGCCAAGCTGTCGGGCATGTTCCCCCTTCCTGGCGCTCCTCGGCAACAGCCAATGGACCCGAGCAAACTACAGGCATTTATGAACCAGCCTGGTGGGCAAGTCACGAGCGCTGGACTGAAAGCCAATAACTCTCGCCAGTCAAAGCGATTGCTGGTTTCAAGAATCCCCTCGGGTACAAGCGAAGAGGCCCTCATGTCCTTCTTCAACCTCCAGCTGAATGGATTGAATGTCATCGACACAACAGACCCTTGCGTCCTGTGTCAGTTCTCCAACGACCGGTCATTTGCTGTCATCGAGTTCAAAGACGCCCCCGAGGCAACAGTTGCTTTGGCAATGGATGGAATATCTATGGAAGCCAGTGATGCATCGAATGGTGCGGATGGAGGTCAACGTGGCCTTGAGATTCGCCGGCCCCGTGACTACGTAGTGCCTGCAGTAACTGAGGAAGTCTCCTATGATTCCGAGGTCGTCTCGAACATCGTTCCGGACACTGTCAATAAGCTCAGCATTACCAACATCCCTACCTTCTTGACAGAAGAGCAGATTATTGAACTGCTGGCTAGCTTTGGCAAACCTAAGGCTTTTGTCCTTGTCAAGGACAGAGGGACAGAAGAGTCCAGAGTGAGTTCAACCTATTGTGCGAAATTGAGACTTTCACTCTAACACTCCCAGGGTATCGCATTTGCCGAGTATCAAGACCCCGCCGCCTCCAATCCAACTGCGCTTGACACACTCAACGGGATGGAAATTGGAGGCAAGAAGCTCAAGGTTAGCAAGGCTAGTATCGGTCCTACACAAGTCGCCAACTTCGACGTGGGTATTACCGCTATCAGTGGTCTTGCTTCTCAGACTGCCAATGAGGTTGAGAGCAGTCGAGTGCTTCAGCTTCTGAACATGGTGACTGCTGAAGAGCTCTTGGACAACGACGACTACGAAGGTGAGTATCCTTGACCATTTTAACGAACTCCTACTAACAAAGCCTGCCAGAAATTTGCGAAGACGTTAGGGAAGAGTGCTCCAAGTTTGGTAAAATCATAGATGTCAAGGTTCCACGACCCACTGGTGGCAGTCGACAATCTGCTGGTGTAGGCAAGATCTTTGTCAAGTATGAAAGAGCCGAAGACACAGCAAAGGCTCTGCAAGCTCTTGCGGGACGCAAGTTTGCTGACAGAACTGTCGTGACAACATATTTCCCAGAGGTAAGCTTGGACCCTTAGGTTTTGGTTCATGGCGACTAACCCGACATGTAGGAGAACTTCGACGTTGGAGCGTGGTAAGAGGTAATATCGTTTCCATTCAAGGCGACCAAGGAGACAATATGTTTACTACCTTGGGTATATGGGTTGAGGGGGGCAGGAGTCTTCTATCGGTGTACGGGTAGGGAATCAATTGAAAATGTAAAACACAGGGCATGGCAAAGCATTTGGTATCATCGAATTCAATACTACCGACCTCCGCATGTGTGAGCAGGCACCAAGTGCAAGTCAGGTTTTGCAGCACGTTGATGTGGATTTGTTTTACGAGAATGCAATGTTCACTGCTATGAAGCCAGGCACATGTTGATGGGTTGATATGGATCGGTGGATTCGAAAACAGGGTACATTATTCAAGGCACTATCTATCTGCAAGATGTCTACTAATATGAGGCAACTTCAAGCTGGAGCAAGCAGGTCAAAAGATCTGTCTTCAAGCTGGAGCAAGCAGGTCAAAAGATCTGTACTCGGTTAGTGTCAAGCCCAACAGAGAAAAGCAAGTCGAATTGCAAATAAAATGACCAGATCAGAAGTCCTGTTCATTCATTGAGCCCGAAGGCTCTAACATAAGAGGTACCAGAAATAAGTAAAAAGTGATTTATCATCATGTCGAGGTCGACTGAGACGGTATGAGGAGCATTGTGACTTACCATATAATTGAAAGCTGTAGCGCAGAGCTTTCTGAGTTCTGCTTCATACAGAACTTCATGAGAAGAAAAAGAAAATCGAATCGCGCGACAGCAAGAAAAGTAAGGAAACGCAACATGAGCTTGGACCATTCACGTGACCTCTTATCGGAGGCTTATCGGGCCAATCGCTTCGCTACCCTAACTAGTTAGTGCACACAAAAGGCATTTCTCAAAAGATCATTTTGCAACTCCACGACTCCAACACTGATCATCCAGCATCACCACGCCAAACCGACAAGATGGGCCGACTTCACAGCAAGGGAAAGGGCATTTCTGCCTCCGCTCTCCCCTACTCGCGCTCTGCTCCTGCATGGTTGAAGACCACCCCCGAGCAGGTTGTTGAGCAGATCGCGAAGCTCGCCCGTAAGGGTGCCACTCCCTCTCAGATTGGTGTTGTCCTTCGCGACAGCCATGGTATTGCCCAGGTCAAGCTTGTCACCGGTAAGGATTGTGCGCATGAAATTCAAGATGAAAGCAACTGACAGATTATCGCAGGTAACCGAATTCTCCGAATTCTCAAGTCCAACGGTACGGTTCCCTGAACGAATAAAGGATGTGGCGAAGGAAACAATACGTCTTCAATGGAGAAACACCATCTCCTTAATGCCTCTGTACGGTTGAGACTGACAGAGAGATTTCAACAGGCCTCGCTCCCGAGCTCCCCGAGGATCTGTACATGCTTATCAAGAAGGTACGCAAGTCATGTCAAAATTTTCCCTGTCGCACAATTCCAAGCTAACGAATTAAAAGGCTGTCGCCGTCCGAAAGCACCTCGAGCGTAACCGCAAGGACAAGGACTCCAAGTTCCGCCTCATTCTTATTGAGTCCCGAATTCACCGCCTGGCTCGCTACTACAAGACCGTCGGTGTTCTCCCTCCCACCTGGAAGTACGAGTCCGCTACTGCTAGCACCATCGTCGCTTAAGCGAAGACATGACGAAGAATGGCCACATTGTTTGGTGGTGATGGTTTCCCGGGTCACGGAGTTGGGGGACAAACATTGAAAAATTGGCATTTAGAGCCATGGTGCTTTCTGCTCGCCCCCTCTGGGAGGATCAACAGCGACGTCGACCGCTCAAATAGAAAGCTCTTCGACCGCTGAAAGTACGCGTATGCAATGGGACATTCTCAACCCAGTGACGATAAAATTATTGAACCTGAACGCCATCTATGCCTTCCGCTACCATGCCAATTGCGTGCTACCGTGGGAAATTTTGTGATATCGTGGATCTAGCCAGTGCCTTCCAGTTCCTTTGACTTCTGAATGAGATACTCTCCTAGTACCCGCAGAGGATCACTCGGCCTGTGATGTTGTCAGTCGCCATCCACAAAACACAAGAAAGGTGAGACCTACTTGTCTTTTGCCAGTTGCTTTACGCCCTCTAACAATACTCCGGTAACTTTTGTGTTGAGATATCGTCGTGTTGAATCGCCATGAGGGGCAGCTTCGGCTGGTAGGCTAAGACCAGAATCCGGATGCGCAGAAGCAGCTCTGGAACCTTGCGCCGGAGTCCCTGTTCGTGCAGGTATGGGGCTAGGCGCATGAGTAGCTGGAGCAGGAGATGACTGTCAAGGTGTTAATAGTCTGTCCTCCAAATGGCGCCTGATACAAGAAATTGACTCTCGAAGAGAGGCGGGTTCAGGTAATAAGCGGAATCTAGACAAGAAGTCCCCAGGAACATATAGAGGAGAGATAACATACTGCAGAGTGATCGAGTGGCGCATCAGACATTGTCACATCCTTCTGGTCTGAGTTATGCCCATTGACAGCAGATTCAGCTGGTGCTACAACTTGCGGTGTATCTGCTGCTGAGTCTGTTCTGGGGATTTCGTCGGCCATTGTCGATGAGATCAGTCGATGTAAGGTACGGTGCCTTAGCAGTATTTACCAGAGTGGCGCTGTTGACAGGTACTTATAGAAGCTGCAATAATAGTGGACATACCTAGGTGATCCTTTCGCGCCGGCTGATTTCCGGATCAAGATAATAATCGATAAGGTAGGTACCCCGCGAGGTCATGTGCTTTCGTGTTCAGCTAGCGTGCCTTGTGTTTGTCATCGCGTGCACATCGCTAGACAATCACTCGTTAATAGTGTTTTTCAACTTCTACTTTCGTCTGACATGGCACAGGTTTCATGATGGATGCGTTCGTGACGAGGCTTCCCAAGCCGCAGAGACAACTTCGAGAGCAAGTTCGCGGTGACTCACCAGAAAAGGAGAGGCCTTCCAAGCGAGCCAAACGGCAGGGATCACCAGACTCTGAGGGGGGTCTATGCCCTGATCACCCCCAGGATATCTCACCGAGGGAGGATTCACCTGATAATGGAGCAGCTCAAACAAAGTACCAATTTGAGGAACACTCCCGAATTACGGACATTGAGAGCACGTTACCGCCCACTGCTGAAGGCCAAGAAGCAGTCCAGCAGTATGAGACAATGAAGTCATCACAGACCTCGGCGCATGATGAGGATGACACCACGGAAACGTCTCAGCCACTTTGGGTCAAGGGACGAAGCTCTATCTATGTGGATGCCTTCAATCTTGCACTTGAGACCGTCCTAGAGGAAGAATCGCATTTATTTGATGGGAAAGAGACCGAGGTTTTTAACCAATGGAGAGAGTTGAACTACGAGGCTCAGTATCTGTATGCACTCTACGCATTATCACAAGCCTGATACTCGCTTACATTTCAAAGCTACGTTAGGCTCTTTCTCAGGAAAACTGCATCGTGGCATCGCCATAGCCGTCTTGGATATCATAACGACATCTCGGATCTTGAGGCAGCGATAACTACCCTGCAATCGTCTCGTATTCTACCAGCAAGCACAGTCACCCCAATAGATAACCCATTTCATGATCTTGAGCTTGAAGAGTCGAGACTGGATGAGACGTTCAGCTTTGCCGATAGATCAGAAGATCACATCGATTCTGTAGAAGAGGCTGCCTCGCTGCTGAGCCTAGATGAGTTGAAAGAGCTTGCTAAGGAAGCAAAAGTCCAAGGGCGCAATAAGTCAGAACTCATTCGTTCACTAGTAAAGATGAGCAAGCAACAGTCTGGATTGTTGTCGGTGGGCCTCAGCAGACACAACAGCCGTGGTTCTGTTGCCGAAGACCAGGAACACTTGGATGCAAAAGCTAAGGGAAAGGGCATCGCAAACCTTCGGCGAGAAGATTCGAACCGAGAGCAGCATTTTCTTACAAAAATTCTCGCAATACTTGGACCTTGCATTCGATTGTCGCCATCAGCCTTCAAACTTTTTGAACGGGTGCATCTTGTGTTCTATCGATCGACAGAGTGGACAGAGAAGTCCTTAACAAAAATCATTCTTGCTAAAATTGCAAGACGGCATTTTCCTGAATACATTGTGTGTCGAACTTCGACTATATTTATGTCGCGCCTGCACCTACTAGAGTATGAAACTGCCATTCGTCTGGAGGCTGAAGTCGATGCATGGGAATTCAGCAGCCCACCCGGAGATGAGGGCCTCAGACTGATGGTCAACATCTTTGAGAAAGTTTACCCGCGATGGAAGATGTTGGTTGAAGAAGAGCAGCACAAGGAGCACACTGTCTATGAATTGGGAGAGGGTGCTTACTTGAGACGTTTCACGCCAGGCCACTCGTATACGAGAATTGTCCATAAAGCAGCACCAGTTTTTGGGAAGCTCAAACAACATCTCAAAGAGCATGAGCTGCTCACCGAGCTTCTCGACCAACGGCTATTCCATCCAGCAAGACGGGGCGGTTGGTACCAACGAAAGGCTCTTCTGGAGGAGCATTATATGCCAGGTTTGGATCCGAATCCCAAATTCACAGATTCCGAACAGCAGAAGAAACACTGGAAGAAAATCGCAGTTGCTACTTGTGAGGCTGGCCTACAAGACCCGGACTGCCATCTGATATTTCACTATGACTTGCAAAAACGCCTTGTCAAGCTAGAAAAGAAACTACGTATACCACGTCGCTTACAACACGATTTTGGCCACGTTGATCTGCAAAAGCCTATTGAACACACCATTAAAGGAATTCAACTCAAGAAGGACATCATCGCCAAGGGCGGTCGCCAAGTTTCAACCAAAACAATATGGCTTGATGAGCTAGACACCCAAGAGGAGTGCAGCGTTGAAGCAATGTGTTTGAGTCAATATCGATCAGAGGGTTGGAAGGGGTATCACGCTGAGGGTGGAATTATTCGCACTCTTTTCGCGTACCTCTTTTATGATATTCTCTTTTTGTATATCCCAAATGTGTTTCAGACAGCATATCAAACATGCCCGCTGGATCTTCACACTGATGCTTTCTACCCATCCCGAGCATCGGAAATTAATCACAGACTGGTCGAGATTGCCAATGGAGAGGCTCCACAACTGATTCGAAAAGTCTGGGAATCAGAACATGAGAGGAGAACAAGTGTGGTGGGCCTTGACTGGGATTTCGAGATTGACGACCTCGTAGAGCTTGCTGGGTGCTTTGAGGGAAATGCTCTTGCAGCAGTATGCAAGGTGATGGCTCAAGAGTACAGACAACGAGGCGGGGGTATCCCGGATCTAATTCTGTGGCGCACTAATAATCTACCAGAAGATTCAACAGAGGTGCCTGGAAGGCCAAAAGGAGAGGTTATGTTTTCGGAAGTCAAGAGCGCCAACGATCGGTTGAGTGACACTCAACGGCTATGGATCCATGTGCTTACTGGAGCAGGGATAAAGGTTGCGCTCTGCAACGCCTTAGCGAAGGAAGTGAGGGAAGTGGACTGATCCCATGTGCAAGACCAGAATGAACTTCGTGCTATTGAATCACGTTTCAAGGCAAGACGGGGACAGAGCACTCTGATTTCCATCAAGCTAAAAAGATGCATCTCAAGTTCCCCAACTACCCTGCAATTTCACACTGCATTCAACCCAGACAACTCATGGGGCAGTGATCGTCTCGTTCTAAGAAGACTATAATTATCTGCACGGGTGTGAATAAGAGAGGTTTTAGCTTGAGATCCGACGATCTGACTTTCGAGCCAAAATTAGCAATTGGCAAAGCATTCGAAACATGATCTGGGGCCTTGTCCCACCCAGCAGCCTGGTCACAGCGGTCTCAAACTCGCTTCTAATCTCAGACTCAGGGCTGAGGATCCCTCCTTGGTTTCAGATAGGCGGGAGGCGTGAGCTGGGCATCTCACGTGCATGGTAGCCAATAACAGGACTGCAGACGAGACGGTGTGATGTGCAGGGTTGTCACAATACCACATGCGCATCTCGTCACTGGCGCATTCAGTAGGTTGAGCGAGTCAATAGGCTACGCGGGTTCTCAATCCAGGTTCTGTAGCCTCTCGGAATTCTGTTTGCTGAACACGATGCCATGATGTGCTGGGCTTCAGGTAAACTGGGGATTAGGCGTGGTAGATCGGTGTTTTTCTCGCCTGTCGGACTCGTGCCATGGTGAATGACTGATGGTATCCCAGGGCCTTGGTCACCTGGATGACGAGAGGTGATGGAATGAGCTTGTGTTTGGATTAGGGGACAAGAGCCTAAGCTCAGGCAGTGAGGTTCAACATGTTGTCACAGGCTGGTGCGGACCAAAGATTCACATCGTCACGTCCCTGGTGACAATACCACCGGGGGCCCATTGGAAACACGCCAACTGGTCAGCTAGCGCATTGTATCCCTCGCAGTAGCTGGGTATTATGCGCGAAACAAATTGACAAGAGTAGAAACGAGAGCGAGAGAGGAGACGCAGACATAGGCGCACCTGAAGCAAGCCAACACGACACAACATATAGCGCAGGCATTACTCCGTACCATTGCGGGCCATACAAATAGACAGAAAACAACGCTTCTGCATGTCGCTATGTCCTCAATCCATTAAGAACCCCAACCCTCACAAATACAAATCGAAATCGTCGACCCACAGCCCTGGGCGCTTAGCACGGATCCAATCATGTCAACTCGTCTTCCATGGTGGGTGATGGGCTCTCTCATCTTAGCCAATAACACATTCGAAGACCATTTCCCGGCGCTTACAAGCCCAGTTTATGGGGCTCCCTGGTTCCGCTTGGACCAGGGTGCTGGGTCGCCAGAAGCTAGAGACCACGCCGCTTTTAAGTCTAAGTCTTTCTAGTGGTCCATCGCCCCTGGGTAATGGGAGGGGGGTGCCGACAGTGGGCGAACAGCATTGAAAGGATTCCTGAAGTTCAAATGGTTCCTTCGTACTGAATTCGCAGCGCAGCGCTGTGAAGATGCAGTGGCCCGAAGGAGAACAAGAGAAGCACAACATTGTGGGAACAATAACTTCCAATGCTTACCGTGGCCCTCTCGGATGCCGCTTTCTGGCCTTGACTTAATCTGTCTATCTCTGCATACGTCCCGTTCCTTTGGCCCAAGAGTTGGCCTAGTGGAGTGCATATATATACATGGATACTTGATTCACGTCTTTGCATTTCATCACAACGCGGACCGAGATGCAGAATCAAACCAAACAGGTCAACAATGTGTTCTTCATCGTTCGCCCCAATGTAATCCATCGTTCGAATGAAGCCTGAGGCTTGCTGAGATGATCTCTCACAGGTGCTTTGCGACCCATGCCAAGTCTCCCGACAAGGAACAAGGGTATATGCCATCACTTGGGAATAGAAGGAAAAATAAGGTGGATTAAGAGCAGGTGGGGTTGAGAGAAGCTTCGAGCTGGCGGCCGTTCTGTAGGCCGCCAGTGCGACCAAGATACGCATCGAGGATATACCCGTTGTGCGGCCTGTTCTTGAGGCCATGGCAGATCCATTATAAACGAGCAAAACAAACAAACAAACAAACCATCGATCGATGGCATGTGGACATTCCCAATTAGATAAACAGAA